CATCCCGTGGGTCGATGGCTCGTGCAGGCATTCGATATCGAAGTGATTTTAATATACTCTGCTAAATTGGCCTGAAAGTTGTTTCTGTTGCCATGGTGTTGTATATTTCCATGAATTGATTGGAAACGAAGAGGGGGGAAGAGAACAAACCCGTGGGGAAAATAATTTTAGCAAGACTAATAATAGGTGTAACGGGTGAAATGCCTTGATGTAAAGTTGTTTGATTGTATTTTCGTCATGTAAGGTGAACTTACAATGAAGAGCTTAAAGCAAACACATCAAGAGATTAAATCGACCTGTGGGTTGACTTGGACTGAACTGGAAGGGCATCTGATTGAAGTGTCTACACCCCCTTTACGGTTATGGCCGCCATTTTAATTTGCGAGTAAACATTGCGTCGTCAATGTTTTCAGACGCACATGTATTGTTGCGTCACTGCATGCGCTAGCTGCGCGCTCACATTAAATATGCACATACTAATATGCACTTTGCATGCTGCATGCTGCATAAAATACAAGCTACTCGCAACGTTTACTCGCAATTTAAATTGGCGCCCATGTCGGCGTATGCGCACTCTTGTAACCGTGAAAGGATGTATTAAACAAGATTAATCAAGGTTATAATTTAGCTTTCATTTATCGTCCATAATGATGTTAATCACCTATCATAGTACGAGAGAAATGACAGTGATAAAGGAATATGCTTTTTTTCATGAAGAGCTACAATGAAAATTTCAGGGACGTGGTTATTTGCATTTCACATTTTAATTACACCAAGATGATGGATAGATAAATACAAACAATAATGTGAACAAAGAGACCCATAATTGCAGAGTGATCAATTAATCATGGTTGAAAGAGCGCAGATGGCCTCCCTCTTGAATGCTAAATACACATGAATATAATTTCTTCATGTGGATGGCGAGCAAGCAAACGAGTATTCAGGCTTTCATCGATACCAGCGCCTCATGAAATTATTCAAAATTACTTAGTTACGTCATGGACTCGTATCCATAACTAAGAGGCATAAATTACGTAGAAATAGTAATAACATGATGATGTAGCTACGAGTTCACAGGAGAACTGTTTCCATATCGAAAGGTGAAACAAGAAATTAAAAAAAAGAAAAAGATAGAATGGATGAAAAAAGAAAGAAAATGGATATGGAAGGAATGAGCTGATATACTACCCACTCTGACCCTCCCCTAACATGGTGGCATCAGCCCGCTCCCCCCCCCCCCCCTTCCCACTCAGTGTTATTTAGGGTACGCATATGCATGTTCCCTCCTTTTGAAAATACCCCCTAAGCCCGGGGTGTAAAGTCAATACGGGCCGGATTTTTGTGTACTACGAGCCGGACTTTGGTGCGTGAAAAGTACCCCTTTACCGGACATTTTGGGAACACGCATGGTATTCCTCCGTTCACGGAGTGGGGGGGGGGGATCAGCAAACGCATCCCAGTTCTTCATGCCTAATCACCCCCATTACACCATCAATGGTTAAACCCCAACTGTGCCACTTTATGATATTAATATTTTTACTTCACATGAAAGGTAATCAACCATCCTGTATTTTTTGTATTAATTACTTCGCCTTATAACAGAAAATTAGACTTAATTAGTTGCATCATGTGTTTGTACTCTAAATTGGGTAATAATGACTGCGTCCAACAGCCATATAGACACGGTTATTTGAAGACCTTGAAGGTTCTATTATGTGCATAACTCGATGAATAGATCTCTCCAGTAATTATGTTTGCAGTAGAGACATATCTCTCGTGGTTTAAAGCATGTGACAGTTGAAAGTAATGAGGTGTCATTTCAAGAATATTGGCATTACACTGAAGACAGGATTGATATTGACATTGACATTTGCCATGGGAATAGATGATGAAAGTACATAGGGGTGTTGATAAACGATTTTACTAGATGGGGTGGGGCAGATCAAGCTGGTCGAAAAATTAGCCGATAACTTTTCCTATAAGCAAGGAGTCCTCACATCTTCAATTTTGCGACCACAACAAAACGTGACAAATTTAATTCTACAACTACTAACATAATATATGTTGCGAGTATGTACAGCTGAACGAGAGGTTCTATTTTCAGTATTGAACTTTTGCACAAAGCTTGTTCAAAATGTTAAAGGGAAGAGGGAAAAAAATAGTGAAACTTTATCGTACTAAATTTGTTTGAATATGACAAAGAATAGGAAGTATTTACGATGGAGTAATTATGTATTTAACTACTAAATTGTTCATACCGTTACCAAGTTTAGTAATTTTTTAGTATGTGATAAATTGATTTGTCTCGTTTTATATTTCTTGAGAATGTAACATATTAAATATTTACATCTAACAGTATTCACGAAGGTCTTAATTCAACCAGTCCATCTTTCATTTTTGTGTTATGAGAAACACAATAGATATCAAATTTACGAGGATATTGATAACTTAGTTGTATTTTTGTATATCAAACGCGTCTACTCTATTTCCATCCTTTCTAGTCATGGCCCATGCCCCGCATATGTAGAAATGGGAAATACAGATGTCCATGCTATCTTTAACTGTAGACTGTTGATTAATCCCTCGCTTCTCAAGATATTTACCATCTCCTGGGAGTTGTGCTCCTTTCCATTGCTAATCTCCTTTTGAGTTCTGTCTCGCTTGATCCTCCAGCACTTACAGGGATCCCAGGTATAATTATAATATCCAGGACTTCATCCACACACAAAATCTCCATACAAAAGAAAGCCATCGATATTTCTTCGATTACTGTCTATTACCATGTTTTGGTATTCTATGAGTTTAAAGATAACGTTGAGTTCTGGTCATGCTATTGCATTGTGAAAGAAACGGTTTGGAATCGATCAGAAAAGGTTGGTAATCTAGCATTTAAGTATTGGTGTTTACTGCAAGGTTCTGGAATCATCAAAATGATAAGAAATTAGGCCCAGTCTTGTTTAAGTTACAAGCACTGTACACAGAAATATGTATATTGGACTACACGAACATTTGTTATCTGATGTTCTTCCACACTTGCATAATAACAATGATGACGGTCAAAAATTAGTTTTTACCTCTTCCCAGAACCAACTTTCTTTTTAATAGTAGACTATTTTCATAACTGTCCTGTTGTCTGAAATTAGTTTCTCTGCCCTTTGATGGGTCTTATTTGTCTTCCCCATTACTTCGCACCATCTTCACCAGTTGCCTGTGGGGTAGCCGGTTTAATCGCCGGTTGCTCGACCATGGTGGAACAGGTAGTCCTGCATGGTTTACATGTTACCAGTAGCAGACCAATGCGCATAATCATCTTTAATTTAAACAATTATCTGGCAAGATAGCATAACCAGTACAAAGAACCTTTTTTTATTATGGTTATATAAAGACACTGGCCAAAGCCAAAAATCAGAAAGATTTGGTGTTTGTGTGGCAAAACAAATGAATAAACTGTATTTTATCATATTATGCGATATTGATTCATATTAAAGTAATAAACGCTTTAACTCGATGTAAAAACATAACTTGGTGTACATTAATCCTCGTAAAAAAAACTTTTTCGAGGAAAGTGTTTATATGGAACGCGCATCGAAATTAAAATCACAATTAGGCGACTTTTGTGTCATGTTATCATGAATTTGTTGTTAAGCACATACTCCCATTACATTTCATTTCTCTTTTTTATATTTAGAAGAAAAAAATCAACTCGACCTCACATTATGAAACTGCTCTATGCGGTCCGTGGACAAGTCCAGGAAGGAGGACAAATCGTACATTTGTATAAGATTGTTAAGGTTTGATGTAAGCTTGTAATGATTCAACTTTTAAGACACACAGAAAAACAAGGTAGGTTAAATAAAATCAATGGAACACATTTTCATTACATTTTATATCATTTATTGTTAATGACACTTGAAATGAATGGCCATTTTTTATTTTGTCAATACACGTGAATCAGTAATTTGCACACAGTTTTTAGGTAGCGATATGACAATTGAGACAATTCAACAGCACAAACGAAATATTTTCATATGAAACATGTCTTTGATGAATCATGCATGACGTATTACTTGGCATCAAATCAATCTTTACTGGGGATATTAACATTCTGAAAGAAATTGCTTGATGACAATGGTCATCCTTGCAAAGTTAACCCTGTTTAATTAGTGCTCTCCGTACTGATTTCCTAATCCAAAGTTGTTGTTTATTTCTTGAGAAAATATCGAATAATTTTACCCATTTTTATTTAATTTCATAGTAACATTTCGTCCGTATTCATGATAACATTTTTTTTTTTACTGAAAACATAATTATTTACTGTATTACAATATAAAAGAAGTCATCAATCCCGAAAGAGCATTACATTTCCAATGACCCGCAAGTCCTCATTAACTTTTGGGCGAGACAAAAGAAACTGTTTGACACGTTAATTATAGAACCAAGTTCTTTTACATATCTTTCATTTTTTCTTCTTTTTTTCAGTTTCATTATGGCAAGATTTACAAAGCGGACGTAAACATGAAAGTCGGGTACAGTATATCATCAAGTTCAATTTCCTAGTATGATTTTCACAATTCTACGAAAGTGCTCAATTTGATACACACAAATTATTGTGTATTTTTGGTTTAATAATTCAAGCACAGTTGAATACTTAACAAGGTCTTTCTTTTTCTTCTTAAACAACCTTAATACTAATTTTAATAGTTTGCATTGTTAAAAAAGGATGAATTTTTCAAATAGGTATAGGTATTTTCTTTACATTGACCCTAAGAACTAAATAAAATTATCACAAATGTTGTAATAGGAAGGATCAAGATTAACTAGGTTAACTCGTTACAAAAAAAAGTCTTCTCATCCATGACTATTACATCAAACTTCATCGTATAAGTGTATTTAGCCACTCCGATCTTCATTTCTGTTGAATTAAATTCCATTCGCTGTATCAGCTGACTTTCATATTTTTCTTGGATAATTCAACATCAAAATAACGCTAATTTTTTTTTTTTAATTCCATCTTGAAAAAAATAAAATTAAAAAAAATGAATGAAAAACCCGAATATATATAGTCAATCATATAATGAAACTTACGATTTCCACGCTACATTTCATTTTGTTGTTATAGTAAGTATATATGTATAAATACCGAGTATATTATATTTTTCTCTTTAAATACTGTCATTTAATGGCATAATGACAATAGTTTTTCATTTCCGTTCAACAATCCCATTTGTAGCCAGTTATCTCAAGTTAAATATAATGAAGAGATAAACGTTGCACTTTTTTGACATGTATCTTAACTGGGATATCACACATTGGAACAATTAGGGGATATTCCATATCCAAATTACCTCTTTAAATACTGTCATTATTTTAATGGTATGATGGCAATATTTTGTCATTTCCGTTCAACGATCCCATTTGTAGCCAGTTATCTCAAGTTAAATATAATGAAGAGATAAACGTTACACTTTTGTCGACATGTATCTTGACTAGGATATTACACATTGGAACCATTAGGGGATATTCCATATCCAAATTACTTCTCATCTTGCCATATATTTAAATAGTAAGATCAATCCCACGAAAATAAAGAAAACTGAGTTGTTAAAGCATTCTCCTCGTTGATAACATTGATAATAAATGTGATTATAATTTATGAGAGATTTAGGTTAATCGTCTAAATTTCTCTAGTTCAAAATTGCGGGCTAATTTTGTAAAATTTACTCGTTTTCTACAAAATATGATTAAATTGTCTGAACAAATGAGATGCACCATTTTAACAGGGTGAACACCCAATGTTATGTTTACAGATACAGTATTGGTGATTAAGGTGGGATGATGGTTGGGTTTGGAATTATGTAAATTTCGATTAGGCCTATATCAAGTTCCGTTGAAACAGATTGTAGTTATATCCATTTTAAATGGAACTCGAAAAGCGAGCGAGACGTCCGAATAAATCTCGTTCGCATGTTACGGAGAATATCGGTAATTCGTCCCTTTCATAATATTTCCCACGAAATAAGGTGAAATTTTGGACTATAAGTGCGCTCTTAATCCAACAAAAAGAAGATATTACGTTCAGTTTTAGCGTACTATACCGTTACAAATAATGTCATTACTTTCTTCACACTTACACAATCCAGGCTACATGATTACCTGCACAAAAAATTATTAAACATTGCAGGATTACATGAACACTATTCTTACTAAATTGATACTAATCATGACCGCTTTGCACGCAAACTTATTATATTCGAGATGAAAACGGGTCGATTATGTTGGGATAACAAGAGGATATTTTACGTAGGTGTCATTTCGAGTATTAAAAACAAAAATTAACACCAAGATAGAACGACGTCACGCATTTTGTCACATGAGCACTTCTTAATAAGAACAATAACATATTTTGTTACTTCATGTTGCAGCTAAACCTTAATTCAATACATTTCACAGAATCATGCGTTCTTTATGTAGCAAAGTTAAATACACCGTGAAAATGTCCAGCATTTCGGGACGGTTGTTTGTTCATTGTGTTGATTTTGATAAAGAAATATATATATGTATAATGACGTCCATGCAATATTTGTTCGCATTATTTTCGTCAGTTTCAAGCAATCATGAACGAAAATAACGGGCAAATCCTCACTTTTCGTGATGTAATAGTCTGGTTCAAGGCGTTCACAAAATAAAAACGTTCCTTTAAAGTGGCGCTTGGTATAACTGAAGCGTTCAAAATTTCCCGGGCATCATCGTTGATTGTGAGCACGCGTATATGTATTTAATTTTCTTTGGCGTTGACTATTTGAGTGACATATACAAGAAACCTCGAGCGATTATGTGGCAAATCCGGTATGGTTATTCACTTAAAGCTAGACTCTGGTATCGAGTGATACCCGAAGGTATTCGTTGGTTGTACTTCCAACGAATTTGGTGGCTGTAGAAGTGCATACCGGACCGGCAGCTACGCCAAGGTGAAAGGCCTGCTTGAAGGCGAGTCTGTATCGATGGCTCATTACTGTGTAAATAATGGGGTTGATCACACAATTGATATAAGCTAGAGAACGACTGAAGTACAGGAGTCCAGCCTGAGCATCGCTAGACAGTTGATACGCTTCTCCCCGGACACTCGATACCATATCCGAAAAAGAGATGATTTCAAAAGGTGCGAGACACACGAAGAATGCGACGCCATTGATGACGAGCATGCGTGCTATTCGATCACGCATATGTGTATCGACCTCTGCCTCGCCCTCGGAGTGTGACTGCAAGCGCTCTATAGATTGATTTAGACCTCGAACAATCAATACGAACATGGTGACGTTGACAAAGAGCGTGGAGAAAAACGGAATGGTCTGCATTCCGTTTGCGTACGCCTTCATCCATGGCTGTGTCGGAGTGCATATGCCCCATCGTGTTGGCCAATCCATAAAGAAACCACTGTCAGAATACACCAAACATACTTGCGTTAAATTCGTATTCGATGGGATAAGTGCTGAGGAAAGGCACATCGATGTAAGCCATGACCCAACTGTCAGCATAGTAGTCTTTGGCTTACACTGCACGTATCGCTGACGTGGTCTGCAGACGGCGCAGTATCGATCTATTGATACCAAACTTACGAAACAAAGTGATGCGAAGTATGCAGTATCCATTACGAGATAAACCCACACGCAACCTCCTTGTCCCAGCGGGTTGTCATCACCATGGATCGGGGAGCCACGAAACCGCCAGATTTTCTCCCCGATACCCGCAAGCAGAAAGACGATATCCGCTACTGCTAAGTTAAGAAGGTAACAGTTGATCGACGTCTGCATTCGAGGGACGCGGAACACGACATAGATAAAAGCCGAGTTATCAAGAACACCCAACGTCAGGACGAGTGGGAGAAATGCAGTTACATAGAACGTCTCTCCCCGACTGTAGCCGTATGACTCTGCGTCGTCTTCGTTGGTTATATTGAGCACCTCCGTGCACTGGACTTCGCCATTCGAAAGATTGTCGGTCGCTAAACTAAGCTCAATGGGTGGGAAACTCATCTTGATTTTAATATTTGAATCCAAACTAAATGCACATCAAAATTGTTCAGAAAGTCACTGCAAGTGTGAGCTGACTAACGCTTAAAATAACGACCACTGCACTTATACAACAGTGCTGAAATGCATTAAAGATACTCAACAATCAAACTCGTGGTTGTTTTTTCTTTGCTGCCTCGGCATTTGATCGCCTATTAATATATTATTGTATCAAGCGAAAGTCCAACTTAGAATGATAACACCACCATCGAACAAGAAGCTACCCAAGTTGACTAAGGAATGAACGAGGTAATGAATTCGTATCAGAAAACGATATTTCTCACGAATTCTCACGAATCTCACAGTGAAGTTCTAGTAGCCGGCGGAAGTTTTACATTCATACGTGTCCATTGGCTGTTGAAGTACTGCAAGTTTGGTTGAATTTAATCTATTGTCCGCTTTAACCATACCGCTTTCATAATTGTCCGTTCAACATAGCAATATAAACGTTGCCGCAATAGTTAATTAACTAAATGCAAGGGTCAAAAAGTCGACAGAAAAACATGACCTTTCTTTTCCTCAATGTAGAGTAGCCCCAGTACAGTGTTGAAAGTCTAAATCCTTCATGAAATATCAATCACATTGACAACGCTATCAAAAGTGGCGCGCAATTGCAATATCCTCGGCAAAATATGCCGCATACGAAGACCGTGTGATGGTAACCGCTACCCAATCTAAGCTAAATCAGTGACAAACATGGTTCTTATGAATACCGAACTGTCTTTTCCGCACAGCTGAGATTCAATATCAATTTCTGTTGCCTTTCTTGTGCTGTCCTTGACTTCGTCATCGATGCTTTCATCTACTTGCGATCGTCATCCATAAGTTCATCTGTCAAATATGAATATTTCATTGAAATCGATCTTTGTTTCCCCCAGTTGTAATTCACAAAGTCTACGAATGCACAAGCTTGTGATTGTCTTAAAACCAGCTCCTTTTACCTCGAAGTAAGAACTTCTTCACCTGTCGTCTGCACATCAGTGCTTCAACCAAAAACCAATTTTTTTTTATCTCCTCTCCGTTCGCTGTCAGCAATTGTAGCGTTTATCGTTTTAACTCACTCTTCTGAACCGGATACAACGCTCTCCCACTTTTTAGCTTTCACCTACCAGCGCTGCCTCGCCTGACTGATGTGTCCGGTGTTGTCGCGCGCTGATTTATACAGATTTTCAAGTGCTCACGAGTAGTTCTGCGCATCTGTCAGTCGCTGACCCTGAGAGGCAGCCCTATTTCGCGGTTGATATGCTGATCGTGGGTTATTAAATGTACCAATACTACCCACTTAAATTCTAATCAGTGCATCTACCTTCACCGGGATAAAAGGTGCTTCGCAGTTTCAGATATTGTTGAGAAAGTGTATATAAGCGGCCGCGGGGCGTTTGTTTCAAAGGTCATTGTTTTCGACTTGTTTTTACTTTCTTTCTACATTTAGGTTTCATTGATTTGAAAAGGAAAATTAGTTTTGCTAGGAAAAACGTTTGTCGATTATTCCGAAATCCTACGTCATGTCTAATCAACGTTGGATTGTGTGTCAGTTCGCAAAGTGCCTAAGGAAAATACCGTTATTTTTGTACTTGTGCGTACAGGTTCAACGTATATATTTGAAGGAAACCCTACTCCAAAGAATAATTGTAGGTATTCTGAAAATGAGATGTATTCTTGCCCTTTAATGTACACTATTCCTTACTAAAATGTACGAGAGATTATAAAACAAGATATCCATGACACGATTTGATGCCTTTTAGCATGACATGGGTGCAGCCATTTTCTTGAAAATGTGACGTATCAGTTTAAGTTGTACATGTACCATGCACCAAGCTTTAATTAATATTTGAATCAATGACAAAACCTTTACCTCTTAATTAGGACAAAATAATGTTAGCTGAGAAGATAGAAATAATATTTGGTGAAAAATATATAACAAGGGGAACAATTGTAACTAATTCATTTAAAAATACTAAAATATGGCAGTTTCTATCTATTTCATTTTTGAGAAACCATCACTCTAGAAGAGCGCACAACCTATTTATGCAATGTGCCTTCTGGCAATATACGGTAGTACAAAGGGTAATAGCATGTGAATCAAATGCTTCATCACCACACAAACCTGGGAAGGAAGAATCAATAAATTTGAAAACTTAATTTGATAAACGACTTCACATAGTACGTCACGTTATCGAGAAAATGGCAATGCCCATGTTGTGCTGAGAAACTGTACATTATTCTTGCGTTATGCCTCTCTCATATACTTTGTTGTAGATAAATGGGCAAGAATATAATAAATCTCTCAGAATAAGTAAAGTTATTTCTTGAGGTGAGTTTTCCTTTTACTTTTTTTTTTTTTTATTTGGCCAGTAAAACACATTGCAAAAAAATCTTTCATGAACAAAAAAAATGTTGTTGCGATGACAGATTGTGAGTGAATTAAAAAAAAAAGAATCTCTTGTATTTTCATCTCCAAGTTCGTAATATTTAGTCATTTCTTTCATTTTTTTACTGCCAAATCGGGAGAGAATTTTTTCGTTTAGGAAAATGTATAATATCGATTGGCAAAATAAGGCTAGTAATTTATTCACCATACCAAATATTGATAATTATGTAGGAGGAGTGGGATGGCATTGAATCAGTGAGAATTCGTATCATAAATCCAAGTGAGTGTTCGTAACACAATCAAATTTAGGAAGATAAGATGACAGATTTCTCTTAATCCAGCGGTATTTTTATTTTTAAAAAGACTAGGAGCGTAGATCAAGCCCATAGCGTTGAATATGCACATAGTGTCTTGTTGCTGAACCAAAAAGGCGTAACCCTCAATATTTGATTATGATTTTGAACGAATAATGTAGGCATGGAATTAAACTTCTAAATAGGTTTTAAACTTTATCACAGGTTATATGTTTCCTATATTATACATTTTTATATAATTATGTTGTGTATACCCTGCCAGTAACATAAGTGTGAATTGTGTACTACGTTGTGTCATGGACCTGGGTTCAAATATTTATGCACGACAATCAACTTTTTTGTAGAAAGTAGTATATATTAACAAGGGCTACTTTGAATGAAGTATGATGCGTTCATGTATTACCGGACACCGGTAATATGTGAACGCATCATTCATACATACCTTTTTCCACATCTAATGCATTGATATAATGCATTGATCATTGATGTAATTCGTCCAAAGAGGATTCCGACAAATAGAGTGGCATTGCAATATTGTTTCACAAAAAGGGAAGCGATTCAAGGGCGGGAGATTTGTTATATTTATAAATTCACACGGTCTCTATTACAAAAGTCGAAATCTTATATAAAGATCTTTACATACATAATCCTCATCATGCGGATAAAGTTCGTTGTCCTATCGTTGAACTACCATCCGAACGTCTGAAAGAAAACGTCATCCAAAAATCTGGCTGCTGGAGAACGAGACGTTTGACATTATATATCCTCCATCTAAAAACCGTCATACTCACGTAAATGAGTTTATTTTGTTCATTATTCAGGATGCCTACCTAATTCTCATACGAATGTCAAGAACAGTTATATGCATGTAAACGGTTATTTAATGTTGCAACATTTATTCTGGCGTGTCTGCCAACATTTTGATCTTGGTTTTATGTCATGAAATGTAAAGCTAGCGACGTACGTTCTCATAGCATAATATGTTATGTTTATCGTTAGGGTTCGTTTTAACAGCAGCGGCGTAGCGTGGGCTCAATTTAGATTAGATCAATTTTGCATTTTAAAGCGAAACGGGCACATTTACATACATATTCTCTCTATCTCTGTCTCTGCGTCTCTTCCCCATATGTCTTTTATCTTTCACTCCTATCTCCACTTCTTTTCTTTTCTGCTGTACTTTACGACAAAGACGTAGATCAGATCACCCTAAAGCAGGGGACGTAGATCGTCGGTCAAAGTGGGGATGCACCAACACAAAATGGGCGCTTCCTGGGGAAAAGGGGACAACTGCACAACATGTCAAAAGGGTAACCCGAAAGCCTAAAAAGCAGACATTGGTGTATACCCCTGCATTCGAATTATTACACATGATCATCGACATTTTTCTTATTACGTGGTCGAAGATTCTACTTCTGTACCACATGTTGCAGTTGTTGATGATTGATTCACTTGTGAGCGAGCGAGGCAAGCGAAGAAAATTTCAAGATTTTAGAGGTCGCATTGCAACCGATTAGATCTTATTATTTACATGAAATCATTAATCATCATGGGGGTATTAAGCACAATTTCATAATGAAATTATCATTAAGACCTTTAGTAATTAAGAACGTGCCCCCGTGCCCCATATGGAAACGTTGTAGGCCTATCATCCGCTCAATCTAACTTGCGTGCATAGAACAAATAAGCATTTTTGCATGAAAAAGTGACGTTTTCGAAACAGTGCGTCTCTTTCCAACCGTGACATTGGGTGCCCGGGAGTTTCTTGGGTTACCTTTCAAAAAGTATAACCAAAAAAAAAATTAAAAATGCATTTTCTCTGTACTTTTGTCGGCAAAAACATAGTAATCCAGCACAATGTCGTCTCTTTTTGCATTGGAGAAGAGCAAAATAGCGAATTCGAATTGTACTTCGGCCGCTCTCGCAAGTCTTTGCTCCTTCTATTGTGGAATATACTAATCGTAACTTTCTTTTGGTTTTAAATTCGTTGTGGTTGGTTGTATATTTTTGTCGGAATTTACTCATTTACATAATGGAACTACATACATGCCCGATAAAGCCAGTGGGCCGTGAATCACAGAACTGTAAATATACATAGAGGGCTCATTTGGGAGCTGAAAAAAAGATCGAGGACTAAGCACGCACGCACGCACTAAAATATACCTTCCACGCTCCGGCCTAATCACACATACGCACACACACTCACAGATACCTTCCAGGCTCATATACTCACGCACACACACTACCTTTCACGCTCACACCCACACACGCGCGCACGCACACACGCACACACGCACGCACACGCACACAAAGATATCTTTGCATGCATGTGTTACTAGTAAACTAGATTACTGTAATAGTTTATTGTATGGATTGCTAGACTCACAAATTTCCAAGTTGCAGCTGGTCCGAAATACATATGCACGACTAATTTGCAGCCTCCCAAAATTCTCTCGAATAACCCTACTTCTAAAGGAACTACACTGGTTGCCAATTCGCCAGAGAATTGCATTTAAAATATTAATGATAGTCTACAAAGCTCTAAATGGTCAAACTCCTAGTTACGTTACTGAATTGTTGCATATCAAGTCTCAAACTCATGGTCGTAACCTTCGAAGTACACAAGACACAATAATGTTGCAAATACCCCCATATAAAACCAAAGTAACCCTCGGGGACCGGTCATTTCTCTGTGCTGCCCCTTGATTATGGAATAAATTACCACTAAAAATAAGGAAAGCCCTATCACTAGATAATTTTAAATAAAAACTGAAAACTCACTTGTTCATATAGTATATATAGCACAGCATTTACGAGCTCTTGCAGCGCAGTAGAATATATGCACATAGTTATTGTGCTTTACAAATGAATATTATTATTTCATTATTATATCTTCCACGCTCACACCCACGCACACACCCACACACAAAATAAAACTTCCATGCTGATATACACACGCCCACGCCCACACACATATATACCTTTCACGCTCATATCTACACCCACAAACACACACACATACCTGGCACGGTCACACCCTGTACCCTGCCCACGCACACGCCCTCTAGGATGTTCCCAAACTGATAGCGGGTGAATGACCATGGAAATGCATATTTTGGTGGTGATTAGAGTGTAGAGACGTTGCATTCGGGGATTTATCTACCCGTAGAAGATACATCAACGTATAGATCGAGTGTAACCGTTTTTAAAGGTTTAACTTTGCCGAAAGCCACTATTGCATATTGATTGATTTTCCCCTGCTGATCACATTCCAGAAGTAATTTCTAATTACCCGAAGAAGTCACTATATAAAATGACTGCGGGATTTCCCCGGTAAGAAGCGAGCTGACTAGACTTTCCCTCTTTTCTCTTTTATTTACCCCCCCCCCCCCTCCCCCTCTCTCTCTCTCTCTGTCTCTCTGTCTCTCTGTCTCTCCCTA